GGCCAACCTTTTTCTCCCCTCCCTCAAGAGCCCCTCTGCACCTCAGCAGCTTTAGTTCATGTCGTTATTTCTATCTTTCTTTGTGGATAAGCAAAGGTGGCCAACTTTTTCCCCCTCAAGGGCCCCTCTGCGCCTTAGCAGTTTTAATTAATGCAGTTATTTCTATATTTCTTTGTGGATAAGAGAAAGTGGCCAACTCCCCCCCCCCTTCCAAGGGCCCCTCTGCACCTTAACTTAATGCAGTTATTTATATATTTGTTTTACTCGCACAAACAAAAGATGGCAGAGGGTGGGATCATGTAGGTAGCTTGGTTGGATTTTCTGGGAACGTCGCTGTTTATGAGTAAATGCACAGGAGTGTTTGAATGGAGGGGGAAAAGGTGAAGCTGGCGACCTTGTCTTCTTTGAGGGTAACCGGGCACAAAGCTGTTGAGAGAGTATTTGCTCTCACCTCAAGGTGCGCAACATCGGATTTAAAAACGGTTCAGGTTTTTGAAAGGCAAACGGAGTCCACATCATCCCACGAAGATGATGAATCAAGAAATGCTCCTTAGCCATAAAGCTCACGTAGCTGTTTTGCAGTTTCAAATAACGGGTGGGAACCCGGACTCAATCGAAGCCTCACAAAAGGCACAACATCGGTTCACTCCAGCCTAAATTCCCCGGAAATCGTGAATGCGGATTGAGGGTCGTGGGCTGGGATGCTCCTCGGTTTAAAACAAGCCAAACTTTGCCCCTAGAAACCTAGCATGTCAGGGAGACGCTTCCAAACTGCCCAATTCCTTACATGATTTACTGTGAACATCAATCCTTTTTTTTTGGGGGGGTGGAATTTACCCCGAAGCGAGTGTATAGGATTGCAACCCAAGTCTGCTTTTTCTGCATTGGACTACTTTTCTGCATGCAGGGAATATTTTCATATGTGGAAAACTGCCCTCAAGCACGTGATGGCCTGAACAGTCACCACACCAGCGGGTTTCTCCTATGAAACAATCGGAATTTGTTTCGGATGAACTGGGCTGCAGTTCCCCCAAAGTTTAGGCCAAAGAAAGCTTCCGTCTTCATGGTATCACTAAACTCCATGTTGCTTTTTTTTGTGCCAACTGATTGGCAGGGCGCTTCTCCTCCCTTGCTTTTCCAGGAAGTCCTCACAATGGCTCCCATCATTTCCTCAATTTATTAGTGCGCGTGTTCGTTTCCTTTCAAGCCGGCGGCCGCGAATCCGAGTCACTTTCGCCGGGCTTTTGCATTGCCGAGGATTTATTTTCCACGGTCTCTAATCCGATTGCGTCGGCTCTTTCCGACCGACCTGTACACACCTCCTGCACAAAGTCCAAAGACAAGGTCGAAGAGAAACAGATTTTCTTTTGATCGTTGATGCCTCCAGAGATTTTCGCCTCTCTCCCCTTCGTGAGAGGCATTTAATGGACTTTAGCTCAGCCGTAGGATGAAAGAGCTATTCTGGGGAAGCTGCTGGGTCATTTCTGGCTCCTTAGAGCAGACTTATTTTAGAGGTTCTCAAACTTTCTCTGCTCCTGTATAGGTGAAGCCATCTTTTCTCACAGAATCACAAAACTTCCTCTCTCTTCAGGCAAGCCCTGGAAAAAATCACAACCACTTTCTTGTTCTGTATCTTTAGGTAGCTTCAACACGTATCTGTCTACTGAAAGAAGCACCTCTAGAAGCCCTTTAACAGCAGGAATATCCTGGCGATAGTAAGCCCAGTTACCCTTGTCTATTATACTTTTTTAACCTCTGCACAAACAACGCTGGCCCCCATTTCTGACCCCTGAATTTAATGAGACTCCCTCCCATGCACATGTTTTAGTGAAGCTTTCTTCCCATAAGATGCCCATAACATTGCGCTGTTAAGATTTCCTTCTCTGGAGGACAAGCCTAACAAGGCCAGCATCCATCTATCTGTGTAAAGAGGAATTCCATAGGGAAACAGCTTCAACAAGAATACACCAGGAAATTCGACTCTCTCCCCCGGGTTTAAACAAAGATAAGGGCTTTTTCCTCCCTGGAAAAGACCCTGATGTTGGGAAAGTGTGAAGGCAAGAGGAGAAGGGGACGACAGAGGATGAGATAGCTGGATAGGGTCATCGAAGCAACCAACATGAACTTGACACAACTATGGGAGGCAGTGGAAGATAGGAGGGCCTGGCGTGCTCTGGTCCATGGGGTCACGAGGAGTTGGACACAACTTAAATGACTAAACAACAAAGGGCTTTTTGTCTCGTTTCATTTCTTAATTGGCTCATCCCTGCAAGATGGGCTGTATGGCTACCCTACCGTGTATAGCCCCCCAAAAAGATTTCCAGCGAGACCGTAAGATGGAAACAGGTCCCTTCTGCCTTTGGCTAAACCAGAAACTCTTTGAAAACACAACATCTTTGCTTTACGCCATAAAGTGTAAGAGACAAGGGTAACTGGGGTAGCTATTTCCAGGATGTTTCTGCTCACCAGCACTTTTGAGCGTTTAAGACAATGGTCTGCAAACCTTCTATAGTTTATTCCATTCTCTCCCACCCCCATAACCAGGATAAGGGTGCACACATACTCTCCTTGCAATTCACACTCTGCTCCTGCCAGCCAAACAAAGCTTTTTAGACTGAAAGGGGTCAAAAGACTCTGTTGTGTTTTTTGCAGTGACTGAAAAATGGGGAAGAAAAAAAAAGGAATCATTTTTATTAGATGAAATAATAACCTCTTTAATAAACCACATGGATCTACATGCAGCAGTTTCACATCAACACAAAGTAGCTATCATTACAGCTGTCTTTAAAAACAACACCAACCCAACAACTCATTTCTTCCAAAACTTTTTGTAGTCATCCAAGTTGAAAACATCTTCATAAACCGCCTCCTGTTTGGACTGAAGGAGGGCCGCCTTCCGCTTCAACAGCCGGGCTCTCCTTTCGGCCTCCGGGAGGGTATTGCTGTCTATCGGAATCTAGCAAAATAAACACCACATTTTAGTCAATAAGATGGCCCCTTTGCTCCTGAGTCCCTCCACGGAGGCACTTGCTTCTTGATTCTCTGCAGAAATTCAACATCTCCAGTATTGCTCATAAAAGGGCTTCAGGGCATCAATGTTGTTTTAATTATCTGGAGGCCTCTTTTCTAGGATTTATTATTTTATTTATTTCAAACATTTTTAAACCCACCCACCCTCTTTCTCCTTAAAATTTGGCATTCAATCTGGAGGAGGGAATCTCCCGGTTTTCAGCCTTTAAAAAAAAACCCTACATCCCACGGCCATTCTTTTGTTTCTGTTCATGGGGTATTCTTGGCAAAGATACTCGAGTGGCTTGCCAGTTCCTACTCCAGATGAATTGCGCTTACTCGGAACTCTCCACTATGACCTGTCTGTCTTGGGTGTCCCTGCATGGCCTAGCCCGTAGTTTCTCTGAATTACTCAAGCCCCTTCGCCACATCAAGGCAGCAATCCATGAAGAGGAGGAGGCTCTTGAGAGTCCCCTGGACTGCAAGGAGAACAAACCTAATCCATTCTGAAGGAAATCAACCCTGCTCACTGGAAGGACAGATCCTGAAGCTGAGGCTCCACTACTTTAGCCATCTCATGAGAAGAGAAGACTCCCTGGAAAAGACCCTGATGTTGTGAAAGTGTGAAGGCCAGAGGAAAAAAGGGGACGGCAGAGGATGAGATGGTTGGACAGGGTCATCGAAGCAACCAACATGAATTTGACCCAACTCCGGGAGGTGGTGGAAGACAGGAGGGCCTGGCATGCTCTGGTCCATGGGGTCATGAAGAGTCAGACACAACTTAACGACTAAACAAAAAAGTGTCTGTGAGACAGAATTCCCAGAAAGGAGAATTATGGGATACGTCGTCTTGAAAACTCAAAATTCCTAGCCACTCCCCTACACTCCCTGAAGGGTTAGTTCCAATGTAGATGACAAACCTGCATCGAAAAGTGCTACCTATGAAGGACGTGTGTAGCACCTTTGGAGAAGCACAGATGCTGTTTTCTCAGAATCCCAGGAGATCTTTCTTCCCCCACCTCCCCCGAAGGGAGAAAAGGCATTCAACTCTCACCGCGAGGATCCGCTTTGGCTCCTTGTAACGGATGTGGATCGTCGAGCCATCAGGTTTGACCAGCAGCACTGGATAGAGACGGGCATATTTCTGCCTCCCGATACAAGCAATGGACGTTCGGTTGGAGTTGAGCTGGCTGGCAGACGTGTGGATCCTGGGAGGTGCGGCCGTGGATGTGGAGAGAGCTTCTAGCCGTAGCGCCCTGGAACCCATGGAAGGAGAACAAGGCCCCCGGTTAGTACAATCTCGGTAAAATTTAATTCAGATATGGGGGAGTTGCTAGAGTTGAATAAATAGACGGCCTGAATTGGCCTTAATATGCATGGAAAGACATCAGCAGTGACATGGACCATTTCCTACAGGACCCAGGAAATCTAACGTTTGCTTTAAAAGACAACCACCCTACACAATTGGGATAGGTCAGTGGTTTAGGTCTCTGGCTGTAGAGTTTGGGAGTTCAAATCCCCGCTGGGCCTCTTTGAGAGAGGCTGAACCCGATGATCCATTGAATCCCTCTGAGATAGTATATTATTACACATTTACGAGCGGTCCTCCAATATGGCATTATAGTTACGCTGCTAACTTAACATTCAAAGGTGGCACCTGAGAGTCCTGATTAGGGCCATCCTTTTGACGCTTAGCCAACAAGACTTTGACTCCGGTGGTTCTCAGAGGCTGGATGCAACCTTTACGACGAGCGCAAGCCGCAGACGTTTTCAAGGGACATGATCCGAGGCCCACAACGACTCTTTAGTAGTGCATCGGCTGGAAGAAAAAGAACAGCGGGTGTTATTGGGGCTTTTGGCATAAAAGGGTCTTTTTAACTGTTCCGTTAGACCTGTTCATGGCATCTCCAAGAGAAACCGTTGGTTGTCCTTGTTCCAAAATGCAGCTCCACCACTCGGGCTGGGAAGGTTGTGAGCAACCGTGTGTGTGTGTGCATGTGTTAATGTGCCGATTCCAAAATGCAGCTCCACCACCAATTGGACTGGGAAGGTTGTGAGCAACTGTGTGTGTGTGTGTGTGTGTGCATGTGTTAATGTGCCGTTAAGCGGCTTCCAACTTAAAACAACTTCTGCACATTGGCGATTTCCAAAAAAGCCCCATCCCATGGGCAAGGTCCTGAAGACCAAAAGCTGTGGTTTCTGTCGCTCAGCCTATCCCTCTCATGTTCGGCCTTCCTCTTCTCCTCCTGCGCCCCGCTTTTCCCCACCACTGCTGCCCTCGGCGAAGGAGTCTCGCTTCTGCATGGCAGCCATACATCAATCCTGTGGGTTTTATCTCTGAAGACCATGCCAGAATCAAAAGTCGTTCCAGGCATGGGGGAGAAAAAGAGGAAAACAAACTTGCTTAAGGGACTGGGGGATTCTGGGTGATGTAGTCCACCGGCAGTGGCATATCCTGCACAGAAAACCAGGGTTGATCCTCCTCATTTATTTTGTAAAAATAATCTTAATTTAGACTGAAATGTGGATATCCACCATCCTTAAGTCATGCAGCTGGTCCAGGGAGCACGTGACCTCCCGTTCCTCTTTCCCTGGCCCACCTCACAGGGCTGTTGGGAAGACAAAAAGGGCGGCGGGGGGGGACCAGAATAACCTCGATTTCCCCGCCTTCAGTTCAAGGAAGAAGACAAGCATTAAATTCCCAACCAGTTCATCAACTACTCCAACTACGCCCCCCCAATAAATCCTCAATGGTTTGGCCTCCTTCGGAGCCATTTCTGTTCCCCCCCCATTTAATGTAAAAATGGTTCGGTCCGAGTCCTTTCCTCCACGCCTTATTTCTTCATTCTTCGTTTCCTTCTCTTCCCCCCCCCAACCCAGAATGGTTTGACCTCCCCCTACCTTATCCTTAATGGTTCGCCCCTCTCCCCAACCTCCTCCGCTGGGTCGTAACCCAAGGCTGGCGCCCACGTGACCCGCGCCTCCTCGAACCTCCTGCGGCCCCGCCCACCTCCCGGCCGCTGGCGATGCCGTCAGACGGCGCTCCCTTCGCGTCATCCCCAAGCGACGCCTTGGCAACAGCTACTGAGGGGAGAGAGAGACGACCTGGTGATGACGTACAAACGCTCCCGGAGGGAGGGGCGGGGCTTGCCTGCGGCGGCGGCAGGACCCCACCCGCCGCCTCCCCCCCATTCCGGAGAGCGGGCCGGCCCACCGTTCTGAGTTACCCTTCCGGGACAAGCGGCTCCGGCTCCTCCGCGCTCCGCTCCTCATGCTCTGGCGGCGGTGGCTGAGCGGCGCCCTCTCAGGTGAGTGCGCCCTTTTCAGGGTCCCCCTGTCGCATCTTCCCCCCCAGCGGTGTTACACCGAAAGCCTTCCCCCACTGCTCCCGTAACCCGTTCACCTTGGTTCCACCCCGCTGGGCTTCTTGGCTGAGGTTTTAAGCTCGCTCTCCTTCAGCCTCGCCCGCCCTGCCTTCGCGCGGGATGGGATGGGGTGGGGGCTCTCCTCGTTCAGCTCTCCCCTGCCCAGGGTTAGCCCCCCAAACAAAACCCTTCCCCACCCTTTCTGCCCCCCCCCAATCACCCCTTGCGGCCATGCAGGCTCTGGGGTGGCCACACCAAGCCTGGGGGAGGGGTTGGGGGGAAATCACCTAGAAAAAGAGAAATCAGCGCTCCTTGGAGGCCCCCCCCATACACTGGCTATTGGGGGGAAAATATATATTAACATCAAAATTTGAAAAAACAATCTAATATCAAAATTTAAAAAATAATAATTTTTTAAAAAGCATTTTAATATCAATTTTTTAGAAATATTTTAATTTTAAAATACTAAAGATATTCAGGGCCCTTTCTTCCATGCTTCTGTTTTTAGGTGGCCGCTCTGACTCGCCTTCGTGGCCCCCTCCCCAAAGGGGTCCAGCTTGGCTCCTGCTTTCGTGCCCCCCCCGCGCCCCCTTCCCTTCTTCCTCTCTCTGGTGCCTCTGCAAGGATCTTGCTATCCCAAGATCCTGCATCCCGCTCTCCCAGTCGTATCTTCCACTCTAAGATCCTTTTCTCCAGCCCCTGTGCCTCTGGTACTTGTTTTCAGTTAAACTGCCTTGGATTCCAAAAAAAGACTTGAGCTGCATCGCTGTACGATGCGCATTTAAATCTGAGGGCAAGTGCTCGCAAAAATCAGTATGAAGCGAACGTTATCTGTCTGGGCCTGCGCTCTGTTCTGCAGCCCTTTAGGAGATGCTTCGTCCGTGCTGCCTGTCCCCTTTCTGGGGTTGGCTTTTTGACACTGTGCCATAAAGAAAGTCCTAAAGAGTGCGGGCTTTTTGCCCGTTCTGTGGTTCCCCCGATACTCTCTTAAGTAGCTCCTGCGCCTTAGCAATGGAAGGAAAAGAGCTGTCAAGATGCATTTACTGCTGCTTCTCCCTTCATGGGATTGCTTTAAAAAACAAACAAACAAACAAAACAAGAGCAGCAAACCGGTTTGAAGATGGAAGGAGTTCATACTTCCTTGTCACTTGCCTAGAGATGCCGTCAGCCTTGTTTCTTCTGCTTAAGCAGAACTGCTCTGTGGAGCAGAGGAAATGGGTTTAAAAGTGCTAGCGGGCATGACATTAACAGCAACTAGACTGCAGAATTAGTATGCAATCCAAGTCGCCATCAGCAATAACAACCTCGACCCCAGAAAGGAATAATTAAAAAAGAACAGCTAGCAGCATGGGAAACCAATTTTTTTTTTCAGAATGGATTTCTGGAAAAAAATCATAGCAAACAGTTGTACTTGGAGCCCGCAAAATTTTCAGGGAGACCTACAGCATTTGAGCTGGTGAGTGGCTGGGCCGAGTTGAACTGCTGAAAGAACAGTTGGCAGTTATTACTCACGGGTCTGCCCTGTCTTGTGATTTCGGCAGGGTGACTTCTATTTCCATATAATTCTCCATTTAATTCTTCTGTTTCCTCATAATTATTCTGCATGCAGACCACGGAAGCAGGAGGTATCCAATTATAGCTACCCTCTCTGTCCACACTGTGCTCTTGTAGGAACTAGAGCTGTCGCTTGTAAGCAGGAACTGCTTCCTTGAACCTTGGCTGTTTGCAGTTGGGAAGAAATTCAAATACAAGTAGCTTTTATTGCACCTGAAGTTGTTTTCATGGTGTGGCTTTCCTGGCTCTTACACAGAAGCAGATCTGTTCTGAATATGTGTGCAAGTTTGTGTTTTAAAAGATAAAAATGCTAACTAAATAAGATCCAGTTTGCAGCTGATTGTTTTATTTCTAGTCAACAAAGATTTCAGCTCCCTGTCCCTTTGGTATCCTTATTCTCAGTCTGTATCGTTGAAGGCTGTTTGGAATAAACCGTGTTCCATGTCTTTACTCTCCTTCCAGAAGCAGACAAAAAAAAAACTTTCTCTTTAGGCAGGCATTCCTTTAAATGACTGGTTGACCAAGGTTTTTTTTAAGGTATTATTTTATCCTGTTGTTTTATTTGTGTTTTATTCCTCTTATTATGAGTTTCATAGGATATCTCTTCAATGCTTTTTAAGTATGGTAATAGTTTATTGTTCAGCTTTTAACTTTGTTTCTTTTAATACTATAAGCCACCTTGAATCCTTTAGGAAAAAGGGCAACGTATAAATATTTGAAATAAATAAAATTTCCTCTTTAGGTGGCTCCCTCTAAGTACTGTACATGGCTTCTCCTGTTCGTAGGACTTAATGTGAGCGACTTTCACTGTGTGTGACTCTTCAGGTTCTTGACCCTAATCTCCAGAGGCTAAATGCAATTGTTAGTCTTAATCGGAATAGATCTTCTCCTGAATAACTTTGATAAGTTAACACTTACTGAAGTCCCATGGATTTGGTGGGCCTAGCCTTCTTTGGGACCATTGAATTTGGCTCTCTGTATTGTTCCCCAGCCAGACTGTACTTTAACTTCCCTGGCCATGGAGATGTTTGGGTGTTACTTGATGTTCATGGTGTCATAAAAGAGGAAGCGGATGGGGAAGGAATTCGATCCTGTTCAGCTCCTTACCTCTGATCGACAAGGTAGCTGTAAACAGAAGTAGCTCAAGTTTCGATAAGCATACCAGTGTCATCGGCTGATTTCACCTGGGGAGAAATCCGTTCTCAGTCCCATTTGGAAAGATGGTCCCTGGTTGCAACTTTGGGATTGCCATGTTAAAGGAATTCATGACAGGAGACTAGGGAAAAAGATGCTCCCAGTCAGATACACCAGTGGTTCCCCACCTTGGATCTCCAGATGTTCTTGGACTACAACTCCCAGAAATCCTGGCCGGCAAAGCTAGGGGTGAAGTCTTCTAGGAGTTTTGCTCCGGGAACATCTGGGGACCCAGCATTTGGAACCACTGAGATAAACTGTACAGGGGTGGCTGGAACAGTGGGTTCACACTGAGATTTCCCTTGTTTGTTTAAAAGGACTGACATGGTCCTTTTATAAGCTCCTGAAAGTGTAAAGACCCTGATTGGACTGGGTTGTTGTTATTGCTGCAAATTTGTGTAAACCGACGGCAAGCAAAATAAAACCATCCGTTTCTTTCCTTGCCTTTTGTCCATAACCTTTCAGCATGTATAAGTGTTGCTTTCCTGCTCTTTGGTCCCACATTATAAAATTCTAGGGCCTGTGAACTTGCAGAAGGGCACGCTATAAATAGGAAATGCGATTAAAAGTGCCTAATTGAGAAACCTTTCTTGAGGCTGCAGTGAGAACCTTTCTCTAATCTTCTTTTCTCCAGATGCTGAGCTGCTCTGCTTTTTCTCCCTCTTAAGCTTACGTGCTACCAAGATCTGTCCCTTTAGTCTATATACCGTAGGTTTATTTCACTCCCAAATGCAGAGCTGAGAAGAATAACATGTAAAAGTCTTTTTCCTTCCCTGTATCCTCCTTTTGCCACCGTGTGCAAAAAAGTGTCCAAAATGGTCTCTTGGAAGCAGGAGAAATTATCCAAATGATCTCGTTGGACTTTTAGCAAACTCTCTTCCTTTGAGGTGGTGCCCCTCAGACATTTTGACTTACTTGGAAGCTAGGGAAAGGCCACATCCTTGGGACCGCTCCGTGGTTCAGTGGACAGAGGCCTGGTCAAGACATGAAACAAAAGTATTTATTCCGACCCATGTTGTTGAATGTACAATTAAACTGGGATTTGATCGGTAGATATGTCTTCTCCATTTTTCAGCATAGCCAAAATTCATATTTTTTTTCCTCCTGGGAGAAAAAGCTTCAGCACTTCTAGAATATCAGCATCTCTGCCTCAGTCAAAATGGGATGATAGTACTGTAGATACATACATGGAGATTTTGCGCACATGTTTCAGCGCCTCCCCTATAGAGATAGCGGTCACTTTGAACTAGAAAGTTGTGCTTTGCTGAAGGTAAGCTCAAGGTAAGGTTGAAACTTCCAGCCATTGAAAGGAGGAGGAAACAGCAGGAAAGGGATTAAGGATCTGGCGGGTGGCTTTTTATTGGCCACCGCAAGGTGAAGGATGGGTAATTTAAGGCTTTAGGTCCACAGAAATAGCCAGGTACTCTGCCTCCTCTGCCTCTTCCCTGTGATAACACAATCAGCTTATTGCTCACACAGAAACGCAGCTGGTATTGTGTCGTTGCCTTTGGAAAGGACCACAACTGAGCAGAAGGTAAGGTGGGAGAGGTTGGAGGGGGCTGATGCAGTGGGAGACCCATCACTGGCATCTAAGAGAGAAAAGCCCTCATTCAAGACCAGGTTTTTCTCGTGTCCTTTAAATTTTTGTTAGTGAGGTAGAAACAAATTCGAGCTAACAAAAATGCAGAGTTCTTTAGAAGTCCAGGGCATGTGTTTGCTGCCTCTTCGCCAAAGCTAGTTGGCTTTCTTTATTTCAAAGAGAGAGAGAGAGAGAGAGAGAGAGAGAGAGATGATGATGATGAATATTAGGTAGGTAGTTCCTCTGATGCGTCACTGGTTATCCCATAGGAACCATACTGTGGATGGTCAGCTTGGTAATAAAGTGGTGGGCTTCCCTTGTGAATCCATTGAAGGACCAAGGATGTTAAACTGTATTCTGACAGTGTGGATGGTTCATTGCTAATATTTATTGTAGATTTGGAAAGAGGCAGAAGGAGGCAACCAGAAAGATCATGGAATGGGAACTCCTTGCTTAGAAAAGAGAAAAACATTTCTCGAAACGTTGAAAGCATGCTGGGAAAATGTCTTTTTTTAAGGAGAAATGACACCTTGAGGAAAGCTAAAGTAAACCTTTGGTCTAGATGGGCGGGATAGAAATGCAATAAATAAAATAATAAATAAAAAGGAAACACTGCTTGCGTCTTCCATCAAAATTAAACTGGCTGCAGGAAAGGCATCGTTTATATCTTGCCTTGAAAATGGTCCGTTTTAAAATGGTGCATTTTAAGGGAGGAATACTTTAGCTTATAAATAAAAAAGGAAGCACTGCTTGCGTCTTCCATCAAAGGTAAACTGGCTGCAGAAAAGGCATCGTTTACTGTATATCTTGCCTTGAAAATGGTCCATTGGAGAGATCTATGTGTCTGTTCCCGTCTTATGCATGTTTGTCCAAGTGTTAAGGATCCAGTTTGTTCTAATGGAGTCCCAAAGGGAGGTATTAAGGATTGCAACATCAAAAATATATTCAGTACCAAACCTTGAGAAGGTTGAGATGTCTCCTATGGGAATGAAGCAAATTGATACAGCACTAATGACCATTGCAGGATAAGTAGGGAATAATAGAAGTCGAAACCAGAAACCGCACCTTTTATTGCGAAGCTATGGAAAAGTTTGGTAGCAAAAAATTGTAGTAAACAAAAAGGAAGAAGGTTCTCGGGGCTGAGCCAGTCTCCGCATTGGTGTGAAGGCTGTGTTTTATCTACAGCCCCTGCGGGAATTGTAATCCTCTGATGTTATAGATTTGCTTACATGCAAGTTGTCAACCTATGCATTTTAAGGGAGGAATACTTTAGCTTAGGAAGCCTTTCATTCATTCAAAAAGAATCTATTCTCCAGGCGTTGCAATTTCCATTTATTTTCTGCTAGAAACACTGCAGGTGAGAATACTGTGGCTGGGAGGTAGTCCTCCGGTCTCTGCTCCTAAATAAAGACTAAAAACATTTTGGACTTTCTAATTTAGGAAATTGAGGATTCAGAGGTGGAAAGGGAGCACGGGGCAGATGTGGAAGAAGAGAATTAGATAGAAATTCTAATATCCTCTCTCTCTCTCTCTCTCTCTCTCTCTCTCTCTCGTTAGCACTAGAATTTGGGTGTATCAAGTGATCTGTCGAGGATTCGGACAAACAAAACACAGTTTCATACTCTGCATGAGTAAAGCTTAGGATTCGTAGACGCAGGATCTTGGCAACACAGGATGTTGGCAACGGCTTCTGGTTTAGACAGCTTTAAAGAAGATTAAGGAAATTAGCCTCAGTGGGGGAAGAGAACCTGCATATTGAGAGGCAGTGTATCTTAGGTAGGGCAGGGGGTAAATTGGATGGATTGATTGATTTTGCGTGTGTGTGTGTGTCAGGTGTACTTGGTTGATCCCTGTGGGAAATCGGAGTCCAGATTATGTTAATGCCTTGGTCCACCCTAGCAGGGTGTGTGTGTCCGTATCTCTGAGTGTCTGATCAAGCTTTCTTTTATTTTATTTACGATTCTAGCCAGATAAATTCAACAACCACGTCCAGAAGGATTTATGTGGCTTTGATTTTGTCTATACAGATAAATTCAACAACCATGTCCAGAAGGATTTATGTGGCTTTGATTTTGGAGATCAGCTGCAATCTGTAGCTAGTTTGTAAGCTTGCAGTCAGGAGGACCTGTCATACTCCTTGGGTGTAAACTCTCCTGGAAATCTTTTTTGTTTACTTCTGTAAGGCCAAAGACAAAAGAAAAATAAAGAAGACGAACTGCTGTGTTTCAATGTGAGCTTGTGTGGACAAGTCCACTTCCTATCAAAGGCATAGATTTATGAAATAAGTAAAGAACATTCTGCAAATTTCTCGTAACATTTCCCAAGGTTAGGTAGCAGCTTTCTAGCAGGACTCTAGGTCTCCTAGCCATAAACGTCCTCTCAAAATCATAAGGGAACAACGTACCATGCAATGCTCTCTAATGTTGGGAATGCTAATTGAGAAGAGATTAAAATTTTCTTTTTCTGAGCATGACCAGGTGCCCCTGAAAGGAATCCCTTTCTTGCAATATTCTACAACTTGCAATATTCTATAACTAGCGTGCTTAACCATGCTGACTCTTTAACAGTCTTATGTAAAGTATGTATCTGTTACTTTCATGCTCCATAGATTGGGCATTGCTTATTGTAAGCATTGCTTTAATAAAACATTTGGAAAGATTTGGAAACAGTTATAAAGGCCATTTCCAAAATCAGTTCTGAAGCCCAAAAGTGTTTCAGTGTAGCTTTAGCTACCAGGGAGTTTCTTCCCACAGATTTCTCTCCCCGCCCCAAGAGAATGCCCTGTCACATCCAAAAGGACTTCTGTAGGACTCCTTTATCCACAGGATCAGTATCCACGGATTCACTTATCCACACTCTGAAAATATTAAAAATGTTAAAAGAAAAATCCTAAAATATATATATTTCTAAAGGTGAGGTTAGCAAAACTGCCCGCTAGAGGATGCCAGAGACCATGCGATGTATAGTGTTTGCTAACATCTGTGTTTTTCAGCATCCACAAGGGCTTGGAACCAGTCTCCTGCGGATACGAGGGCCCTACTGTTTCCTGGCCCTGAACCTGTTTAGGGGTTTTGTAGGGTCAAACGGCAACACCTTGAATTGAACTGAGATGCAGAATTGAAGCCAGTGTACTTTGGACAAGACCAGTGAAGAGTTGTCTCTAAAGGTTGCACTAGCAGTAGTCTAGTCACTACATTTTATACTGGCTTTAGCTTCCAAACACTCTTCAATGGAAGCCCTACATAGAATGCATTGCAGTAGCCTAGTCTCCCAAGTTTGCACTAGTAATAGTCTAGTCACTACATTTTATACTAGCTTTAGCTTCCAAACACTCTTCAAGGGCAGCCCTACATAGAATGCATTGCAGTAGCCTAACCAGGAAGTGATCAAGGCATGGCTCAATGTGGCAAATTCAGTCTTTGCCAGAAACAGACACAGCAGAACAGAGGCTAACCTAGCAGCCCCCTTGGCTACCACGATTACTGCTGGATCCAAGATCTCTTCCAGGCTGTTTTGGCTGACCAACGGACCATCCAGCTTTATCAAGATGGCGCTCCTTCCTTCCTTCCTTCCTTCCTTCCTTCCTTCCTTCCTTCCTTCCTTCCTTCCTTCCTTCCTTCCTTCCGCCTTTTCTGTTTATGCCTATTATTTGCTGCTGTTCTGTCTCTTGATCCTACTCCGGTCTGCAAGCTTTAAGCCTCTATTTGTACCCTTTATGCCACTAGGCCATGTAAAATGGCCACACTGTCCAAATTTTGATTCTCAAACACACGCCTTCAGCCGGTACTCGCTTTTTTGGGGAAACACACCTGATCCTAGAATTTGTTTCTTGTGGAGGGCTTTCAACGTCACCACCAGTACCTAATGGAAAAACAGATGTATGTGTAACACCTTGCAGTATGAAGATTTTGTCTTTATGAGACAAGCTTAATTGGAAACGGCAAATCCAGCTCCTTTGCAGGTGGATCTACCTGGAATTGTTTGGAAGAATTTTTACTGTTTGGTCTGATTTTTACAGTAAAGCCAAGCTGCTGTGTTGCTGTTGATTTTCTGTTTCATTCACTTATATTGAAGAATTTGCAAAAAGATATGATCTTCCTTTAGGTGGTTCAGTAAATAAAGTCTTCCTTTCCAAACACAGCTGTCTCAGTATTCCTACAACTCAAAAAGTAGGATATTCTCAAAGGAAAGGAGAGTGTTTTATTTTAATGAAAATTGTTGGGGTTAAAGCAAGATGAAGTAAAGAAATTCAGACCACAGATTAACCCCCTCCTCTTTCAAAATGTGAGCACATGGGTCCCTTTGCCTGGATAACTGTGGTTTAGGCATCTGGCCAGAGGTTGGGAGTTTGATTCCCCCGCTGGGCCTCTCTGATAAGTACGGAGCTCAATGATCCACAGGGCCCCTTCCAGCTGTGCAGTTCTAAGACGATGATGATGATGATGATTTTACCTGGCACTCCCAAGTTGGCACAAGAGTCGAACTTGCTCATTGGGTTGCTAAAGAGGGATAACTTGAGGTGGAAGAGCCTCGTGGCGCAGTGGTTAATAAGGACTGAGCTCAATGATCCACAGGGCCCCTTCCAGCTGTGCAGTTCTAAGACGATGATGATGATGATGATTTTACCTGGCACTCCCAAGTTGGCACAAGAGTCGAACTTGCTCATTGGGTTGCTAAAGAGGGATAACTTGAGGTGGAAGAGCCTCGTGGCGCAGTGGTTAAATCGCTGTACTGGAGCTAAAACTGTGCTCACGCTCCATTTACCTAGAGCAGAGCCTTTTAAACCCGAGTCACCTTTCTTCAAATGTAGATCAAACGGTATGGTCTAATGAAAAACAGTTGTGATTGTGAATAGGATTGCAATACCTAGAGCAGAGCCTTTTAAATCTGAGTCGCCTTCCTTCAAATGTAGATCAAACGGTATGGTCTAATGAAAAACAGTTGTGATTGTGAATAGGATTGCAGTGCAAGTGTGATGTTGGCAGCTGGCAACGTTATCAAAAAGTGTGTTTCTACTCAGCTCTGCCACACGGTGATGCATCGTGTAAGGGGTGGGGTTGCTGTCAAAAAATATGTTTCTACTCAGCTCTGCCACACGGGGATGCATCGTGTAAGGGGTGGGGTTGCTGTTAGAATGATGCTGTGGTGTTTACTTGAGGTGGAAGTTAAGGGACAATAATAATCATGGGCCATCAAGTCAGTTCAGACTTATGGCTTCCAGGGTTTTCTAAGTAGAGAATATTCAGAAGTGGTTTTCCATCCCCTTCTTCCGGGGCTGTGCAGCTTCCCCAAGGCCACACGGGCTGGCTGTACTCACAGCAGGCAATGTTGGGGGGAAGAGGTACCCATCTTCGGAGAGGGCGATTGTGGTCTTCATGCCCTTGCTTTTGAGCCATATCGTTCCAGCTGTAACGGTTTGCTCCAAACCCAGGGTTTGGTTGTGTTCCCTTCTTTGTGAAACGTATCATTATATACTGATTGCACGCCCTGGGTTTCTGCAAACTGTTTAGAGTTGCTGCAAAACAATGAAGTCCTAACGAAGCCACTGCTTGCCTTCCTCCAGTTATGACGGGACCAAGGCCAGTCGTCCTGAGCGGGCCTTCGGGTGCCGGGAAGAGCACGCTGCTGAAGAAGCTGTTGAAGGATTACGAGAATGTCTTCGGCTTCAGCGTCTCCCGTGAGTGAGTTCTCTTCTGCCGGGCTGTTTGGAGGGCTGCGTGTTTGCATTGAGTGTTGCCGGGAGGGGGTGGTGGCAGCAAGTCCTTACCTGTGTGTGCGCATGCAATGGATTCGTGCATGCAATATTGCTTCATGCTCTCAGACACTTTAAGCCCTGTGCTCACGGGGAAAAAAGGGAAAAACAGCTGAAAAATCCAGTGTTGCGCTTTCTGTCTGACCTAAAACTTTTCTCCATCGTATTCATGCCCCCCGACCCATCCTCAATCCATCATGGTGAGATCCAGAGAGTTACAGTCTGTAAAAGAAGGAAAATCCTCCCAGCTCTGCTTCTCCTTATCTGAAGCCTGATGGGCTGAAAATCAGATAAGGGGAAAAAACTGCAAATTATTTTTAACCTGTTCTTGTAACAGAAGAACACAACTTTTTGAGAGGTGTTTCCCATCCACTATTCTTTCCTCCCATCAAGAAATGGGTTTTTACAGCCAGCGTCCAGCTGGCAGCTCCACCCACTTTGTACAACCAAAATCCAGGCCATTCTTTCACTCATGTCCCTGTTTCCATGCCCGCTCTGCGTGGATCTCTTTTTAAAAAGCCATGGAGAAAGACCTAAATCAGGTTGATCCATGACATGCTCGTATTCAGTGTTAAAAGAAACCCAGCCTTAAATTAAACTGAGAAAAACTGTTTCGACCAGTGGGTCCCCAGCTGTTCTCGGGCGACCACTCCCAGAAATCCTGGCCATCACATCTGGTGACGAAGGCTTCTGGGAGTTGTAGTCCAAGAACATCTGTGTACACAAGGTTTGGGAACCACTGATTTAGACTATTGTGGGGCTGGTGGGGGAAAGCACATTCTGTTGCTTTAAGGTTTTTCAGCTACTTCACAAAAACATGTAAGTTTTCAGCTGATGTGTTGGTTTAAGCCATATATGTGTGTATTATTTACTGCTTCCAGATACCACAAGGCAACCGAGACCTGGAGAAGTGAATGGAAAAGGTCAGTGTCCAGATACCCGTTCCTTTGCAGGAGACTCAGTAAAGTCCCTTTACCCAACCCAGTGTCCTCCAGATGTCTTGAACTACACATCCCATTATCCTACCCATACTGGCCTGTGAGTTATGGGAGTTGTAGTTAAACATCTGGAGAGTGCCACATTGGAGAAGGTTGAGCAACTGTCTCTCTAAAAAAAAAAGTTTGCTTCTGGAATATGGCGCCTGATGGGGGACAGAGCAGGAACTGCCCAGTCTTGAGAGATTGTTGAGGACAGGTTGTTACTCACCGGTAGAGCACACAAAACCAAGGTTGTTTTGTTCTTGTTAGGTTTTGCCCATCAAGTGACTAATTGAGGGAGTGGCTTTTATCATATCGATGTTTTTTTCCTTTTTTTAAAAAAAAAGGTCTGTTTTAAAATTGTTTTAAGTTCAAAGAAGTATTAATGTTCAAGACAATTCAACTGCATTTGAACGCGGTAATTTTTTTCAGTGTTTTTATCTGCACTTGTGTTTTATTTATTTTTATCGGCCTGTTTGAATCTTATTGAGGGTTGCCTTCCTTTCCACTTCTTGGGGGGGAGGGGGAAGGCTGACTATAAATCAAACCCAATCAATCAATCAATCAGTCAATCAATCCATCAATTAATCAATCAAGTGAAAGCAGCTTAGGTTGCCCAGTACCTGGAAGGCATAGCACCATGGAGCTAGAAGGGGGTCTATAAGGCCATCCAGTCCACCCCCTGCTCAAGGCAGGGTTCCAAAGCAAAGCAGAGCTGACAGAGGGTGATCCATCCTATTCGTGGAGGTGCAGCAGCGGGTGGGGTGCCTGCATGCCGCTCGACGGGTCAACATCATGTAGGTGTTCTTCTGGAGAGTTCACCGGAGATGTCTTCCAGGACTGGATGCTAAGCTTGGGAGCTTGCTTTTCAGGGTGGAGGTGGATGTTCACAGCGGATTTTGTGTTGGTTCATATTAAGAATGTTTTATCCCATTTAAAAAGTTCCTAGGAAGGTTAACAGATGAATCAGAAAAGAAACATAATAATAACCTTTGAACTGCAGAGCTGGAAGGGACCCTATATGGATCATCAAGTCCAGCCTCTCTCAAGGAGGCCCAGTGGGGGAATCGAAACTCCCAACCTCTGGCTTCCCAGCCAAAGACCTAAGCCACGTAGTAAGAAAAGAAACAGAGCCCTTAAGATAGCATGCTGCTGTTACATATGATCAAGTCATTTCCAAGTTACAGTGACCCTATGAACGAGTGGAGCTAGCTTGATAGCTCAGTGGTTTAGGTCTCCAGCTGTGGAGCCAGAGGTTGGGAGTTCGATACCCCCACGGTGCGTTTCCAGAGAAAAAAGCCAGCCTGGGTGGCTTTGGGAAAGCTGCACAGTCCCAGGGTGTTCCCCCCCCCCGAACAAAGGAAAGCTCAACCACTTCTGAGTATTCTCTACCGAGAAAATCCTAAAAAAGATTGCCATCGGTCAGAATCGCCTTGATGACACGCAAGACAGGAGACCTATCTCGGGCAAGTGCGCCACGCTTCGGCTTTCAACCGAGAACACCTATTTTGGCTCTCTGCTTAACCTCAGGTGCCTCAGAGGTTATTCTTTGTTGAGAGGCAGGCTCTCATGGGGAAGAGAGCAAGCAGCCTTTCGAATAAGATCTGCCTTCTCTCCTCTAATTAAGAGGATTCCTCCCAGATTATGAGATCAAGCAGAGAGGGCCCACTTGGGCTGTGTCTGCCTCTCCCATCAGCTGTTCTTCTGCAGTTCATTGTGAGAGAGACTCACAGTGGTGTGGGATGGTTGTGCCGGATTTATTTATTATTTCTATAAACAGGAAGAGCCAGGGGCTTAGGTGGAAGTTGACACCCTTCCCAGGTGGGCTTTTTAGGATGGTTTGACATGTCCCTCTGCATATAGAGAGAGCTATATAAAATACCCTGTTTTCTCAGATTACCATTTTGTGACCAGAGAAGAGATGCAGAAGGAAATTGACGCTGGAGGATTCATTGAACATGCACAGTTTTCTGGGAACTTGTACGGAACAAGGTGTGTAATTTGGGTAGGAGAAGAGCTATGGTTCTTTGATGGAGGGTCAGATTGCTCTCGCTTTCTCTCCCACTGGGCACTGTCATGGGGTCAAGTTGACCACTGGCAACCCCAGGGACTAGAATCTTGGGTTTGAAATAAAATTTAAATTAAATAGGTAAATAAATAATCCGGAATTATTATCATTTTTGAATCGCCAGAAGGGAAAGGTGCGGTAGACATGAGGTCTACAAAGGCACAAATCTTGAATTATTTTAGCCTAGATTTCCCTGGGAGCATAGATACGGTTTCTCCAGAGAGACAGAATGGCCTTCCTCGCCCATACTTGTTGAAAACGGTTCAGGGAACATAGGGGACCTAGGAAGGATAATATGTACATTTTTATTTCAAGTCTGCTGGGCTAAGAAGGCAGCTCGGTGGAGATCAGAATTGAAACCTTTGAAATAAATAAAAATAATGACTATTAAGATAGAGGTGATCTAGCTGGTAGACATGTTTGTTTGTTGAGGCCAAAGAGAAACCAGAAGTTGGTTTTCATCCATTTTTGTGTGTCCAGATGAATACAGAGACTGTGTCTCGGGAAGGGGGAAAACTGTGGGAAGGGCTGGTATGTCTGAGGAGGCCTAGAAAGAGTGTGCTGAACCTTCTCATGCGTCGGTACCCTCCCTTCTTGTGTCATTATACACTATCTGGGACTTTGTTACCCACCCAGACCCCAATCGGCACCCTTGTGATGGAATTAATAACTGCCTTTTTGTCTGTTAAAAATCTTCTTCACTCAGGACCAACACGCCTTACTGTGGTCCTTCCTTCCTACAGTTTTACACTCCTCCCAGAGACACAGCCACACCATTGAACTGAAGAAGTGTGTTTGGACACACAAAAGTTTATTGAAAAATAAATATGAGTTAGTCTTAAAGGTGCCACAAGTCTTCTGGTTATTAAGAGCTGTCAATGGGCAGCTGAGGGAAAACCGAAAATGAAAAAACACACCTGGGTGTGCTTTCTATTGCTGTCAGAGTGCAGTCTAATCAAGTCCACTGTCACAGCAGGATGATAAAGGTCACCGATAGTTACGGCAACGGAGTCTGAGAAGGCTTATAGGTTGTTCCTATTTGTTGCTAAGCTCAAGGCACTAGCCCTCAGATTTATACCGGGAAACCCTTCTTGCAAGACAGCGCCTCTGCTTTGGAATCATTAATCAGCCTTCTTTTTCCCCCCTGTCAGCAAAGCAGCTATCCAGGCTGTCCAAGCACAGAACCAGATTTGTATTCTGGATATTGACATGCAGGGTGTGAAGAACATCAAGAAAACGGACCTTAATCCGATATACATCTCCATCCAAGCCCCCTCCATTGAAGTCTTGGTGAGCATGAGTTGGGCATGGCCTGTTGTGTTGTGTTTGCGACGTGCCGTCAAGTCACATCGGACTTAACGGCCATCGGGTTTTGAAGGTGTGTGAAATGAAGAGTAGTTTTATCGGTGAATTTCTGTGGCCTGGTGGCAGATTTGAACCCAAGTCCTCTGAATCCGAATCCCATCGCTCTATTCATTGCATCACACCTTTGCCCCGTGGCAAAACATAGAACAATATCGCAGTTGGAAAAAAAGAACAAGGAAAACATGAAAATAAAAATAAAATCTTCTCTGTAGGACTCTGTTGTTAAAGGCAGCTTTGAATCGTTCTGCGTAGGATAGAACCGTCCTCATAACGGACGCCGTGCGGTGTCAATCTGAGCTCATCAGTTCTCGATTTCAGCTCCCATAATCCCTCACCATTGGCTGTGTTGCCTCAGTCTTCTGGAGCTGATCTCCTAAAACATCCGGAGAGTCAAAGGTTCCATGTTTTACGTGGTAAAATGAGTAAGAACAGGAGATTCCAAAATCCACAGTCAAGGGTTATCTTTTCATAGGAGAAACTATCAGGAAAAAGCGAATGAGGTTTGGGGCTTTTAAGAACCATCAGGACGGTTCTTAAGGAAAGATGGCAAGGAAGAGGGACTGGTGGGTTGATGGTGAAGACCAAACATCTGGTATTTAGTGAGGGCTGTGGGTTTTGTTTTTTCTTAAGAAAAGAGGTGGGGGCCTGCATTGGTCCATGAACTTTAAGCTGCCCTCACCAACCGAAGCAGAACAGAGCAGAAAGCAGAGAACCCACTGGCGATGTGGGGTGTGTGTCAATCAGCTGTCGAGAATGTGAATCTCACATCTGTTTTTTTGTGGGGTGTAGGAGAAACGGTTGCGGGAGAGACAGACGGAGACAGAGGAGAGTTTACAGAAGCGGCTGAACGCCGCGTCCATCGACATGGAACTGAGTGAGTATCCAGGAACCATAGCGGCTGTGCCGTCCTCTTCCTTTTCCGGTTTGGATCTGGTTTCGGTGTGGATGTTGGTTACCCCCTTTTTTTTGTATGATTCTTTCCAAACGTCTGTCTATTTGCTTTTTTTGGTTTCTAAACATCATCTTTTAATCCTGTCAGCGGCCTTGGGTCCTTTTCTTTAAGCAGAAAGGAGGGGTAAAATATTTTAAATAAATAAACCCATGCATGCATGGCCTGCTGATGAGCTCAACCGAGGTGCCTGATCAGCTACTTTGGGGAGCAGGAGGTTGGGCCGGAGGTTCGCTCCTTACCTTCTTGAATGAGTGTACGCATGGCCTGCTGATGCGCTCCCCCAAGGTGCCTGATCAGCCGCTTTGGGGAGCTGGGCCGGATCGTCCTTTGGTTGAATCCGGCAGGTTCGCTCCTTACCTTCTTGAATGAGTGAGGATGAAGGACTCGACAGGCTGGCCTGTGCATGACAGGCCATCCCAGCTATATTCATGCCCCAGCTTTTACTCTCCTTTGCCCCTTCTCCTTTCATCCCACCCTCCTGCTTTTAATCTGTCGGTGAAAGGAAGGGGAGGTGTGATATTTCCGAGACATGTAAAAGGCCTGTGGTGTCCCAAGCATCTCCAGTTCCACATTGTTTTACTGTCGTTCCCCTGAAAAAAGCCAAACAGTCCAAGCCGGGGGCTTCAAGGAGATCCTCTTCTCCTGGGGATTTCCAGATGCATGGAGGCAAAGAATCTGGGCCGGGCGATGCAGAGAGGGATAAAATGTTGAGCATCAGAGCCACGTCTAGATTGGTGGCTCCTTACCTTTGGAGGGAGGAGAGCTGCGAACAGGAGGTGGAACACCAATGATTCTCAACTGGTGGGACATTATCCTTCTGTGGCTTCGTGGTCCAGGCCAGTCCCCTTTCGGTCCACCTGTCCCCTGTCCTCCAATTTACCATAAATGGAAAAGGTAATGACAACCCCCCGCCCTTAAACCTAGGAGTGTGCTTTTTGGGCAACATGGGTCCTTATGTCATGATGGGGCTCAGATGCTTTGAATAAAGAGGATACTAGGATATAAGAAAAGGAGAGTTGAGAGCCGTTCCTTCTCCGATCCTCCGACCCAAACCTTTCGGTTCCCTCTGAGTGTGTGTTTTAATTCACCAGGTAAGGAGCCTGGCCTTTTCGACTTGATCATCATTAACGATGATTTGGAAAAAGCCTATAATCAGCTGAAGAACACTCTTGCCGAGGTGAGTTCTCCCTTAAATTGGAGAGAGAAGCTTCCTTAATCAGGTCACCTGGATGAGGTCTCTACGTCAAAGAAAGTTGAGAGGAGATCAATAAAAAAGGGTTGCTCCCCAGGCGGACATTTTGGGAGTTGATGGAGTTCGTTCAGTTGAACCTTCCAGATGTGTTTGGCTACTCTCTGTGCTGGCTGGGGATGATGAGCCTAGTAGTCCCACGCATCTGACGTGCCCTCCCTGGTTTGGAGAAGAGGTGGTAGATTCTTGGCTTGCTTTAGAGTCCTGTGGGAGGTCCTCCCACCAGCCAGAACATGGCCCCTCTTCCTTCACAAGGGCCGTTCCCACTGCCGGTGCTTCTCCTAGGCACCATCTGGGTTCTGTTTGGGCTTGTGGTGTTTGGTTGCCATCGGTCATTTGGGGAGTCCCCTTGGGTGGACGCTTTGGGAGACACACACCCCCAGTTCTAGGGTGCAGTTCTTTCTGCCGCTTCAGGTCTGCGTTCCGTAACCAAGTGGGATGATCAGCCACCCTGCTGTGCAATAAGGAGCTTACGCTCTTCCTTTCTCCTCCTTGCAGGAAATCCAAAAGGCACAAGGAGCCAAGAAGTCGTGAATCTTCAGGGTGCAGACGCTTGGATTTTGCAGACATTCCCAATGTCTTTTACTGCCTTTTCTGTATTAGAGAGAAAGACACACAGAGACACATTCCTCTTTTTCCCTGATCCCCTGTGGAATTCTAGCAACTTTCTACTAAAGAATAAAACGTCAAACGTGGACCTTTCTTTGTGCATCTTCCTTCCTTCCTTCATCTTCTCCTCCCTCCCTCCCTCCCTCCCTTCTTAAGACAAATCAGTAACAACAGAAGAATTCTCTGGGCGTACCTGCTTATATTCAGTGCTTATCTGCTGTGGTCATCATCCTTCCTCCCACATACCCCAATCCTGAGCAACTATTATGCAGTACTCAACTTGGACCTCTAACCTCTTAAGGGCTAACAGGTGACCTACGACCATTCCTCACTGGGATCCGTTTTCCTGCCCCAGATAAAGCAAGGCATTTGGTGTCTCTCTTTTCCTTTTCTTTTTCCTGCTACTTTGTCCAGTGCTGTGCCTTGGAGGCTCCAGCGTTCCAGACAGATATTTGCCACGGTCACACACACGTCGTGCGATGTGCAGAGAGAGAGAGAGAGCGTGCGGAGAGATTGCTTTTTTGAACTACCATTCCCAGAATCCATGCGCAGCATGGCCTCTGACTGTGGATTCTGGGACTTCTAGTGAAAAAAAAAGATGGATGTTTCTAAGCTCTAAAAATGAGCACATGGACCACATTGGGTCCTTTTTTAAGGAGAAAGGAGGGATAGAAATATTTTATATAAATAAATAAATCCACCACCCCCCGCTCCCACGGCTTGTCACGGAATTAGGAGCCTTCATCAATTCTGGGGTAGCCAGAATTTTGCCCAAGCCCCATGGCTAAGCTGGTGCCCAGAACCCATCACTCCTCATTATGAGTAGAACGCTACTGCTTTAACAAAATTGCGTCCAAAATCATCTGTTCCAGAGTTGTCGTGTGTGAGCCTTGCATCACCTTCATTTCTGTCGGGTGGTACAGCTGAGGAGCGATGGAACAGCAGGAGCGAAATGCAAGCAAGGGTGTCAAAAGTCAATGCATTTAACCAGGAAACGTCTGCTCCATGGGCATTTATAGTTCTACGTTTCTTTTACCTGTACAGAATCTGAAACTTGGAATACATTTGCACAAACACCATAGAATTGTTTTCATATTCCCATTTTTTATGCTGCTGCTGGGGAGGGCCAGGGTCCGAATAGGGAGCCCCCTGAACCACGTGGAATTTTTTTTCCCAGTCAAGGCTGGATCATTATTTATTTCAGTTCCGCGAGTGTAACAAGGTGGCCACCTTGTGAAAATCTTGCGGGGTAGAAGGACCCATTATTTGTATTATGTAGAAGGCTGAATTACCAAAGGGTGCTTTGGCAATTCGCATTTGAGGGTTCCTCTCCCTCCTTGCAACATAATGCCCCCCCCCCGTGATGCTAGCCTGGGGGGTTAAAATTCCAAAAGAAAAATTATAAGCCATGTTCTCTAGTTTCCTGGCAAGTCTTGGTACTGACCAGAATTTACATCCGAAAAGATTTCCCTTGCCTGATGCAGAGAAGAACACCAGAGGGCGACAGTGAGAGAAAGCAAAAACATAGCCAATCATTCCCTGAACCCTAATCTAGTCTTCAATAATAGTGCATTTCCTGTGCGGGTTACAGTTCAGGAATTCCCCCTTGTCTCCTGAGTGGAACATTTAAAACTGTGTGCACCTTGGGGCAGAGACCTCCTGAACATCCTGGACGCTACAAAAATATCAGAAAACCCCCTTAATATTAAACGTTATGTGCTGCCAAGTCAGAACTGACTTCTACTACCTCTAATAGAGCTTTCACGATGAGATATTTAGCAATAGTAATTGCATGGTGTTGACCCAGTTCTGACTTACGGTGACCCTTTTCCAGAGAATACACAGAAGTGCTTTACCCCCTCCCTTCCTCTAGGGGCGCTGTGGGACGGTGCAGCTGGCCCAAAGCCACCCAGGCTGGCTTTTCTCCCAAGAGACCCAGTGGAAGATTCGAACTCCCAGCCTCGAACTTGGCAGCCAGAGACCCGAGACATTCAGTGGTTTTACCAATTCCCCTCCCTCGGTGAGTTTCCGTGGCAAAGCCGGGTTACCAAACCCCCGTCTCCTGATTCATCCCTCTGCCCACTACACCACGCTGGCTACTACTGTCAAATAGAACGAGTGCGAATAACATGTAGCAATGCTGTTTCACACCCCAGGGCAGAATCTGAAAAAGAATCATATTCTTTCAAAGAGATCCAAAAAATCCAGCTAATTCCAGTTTTTTCAGGAACTTGAGCCAAACGCCGCTTGTCTCGTGGCGAGATGTTCTGAAATTAGACTCGGCTAAATAAACTGGGCAATAAGTTATAATTAGTGGCGGCACCAGGGTTGAAAGCTCCAAATGTTGTTAGTGTCGTGCCCTAATTAAGAACGACAGTTTCAGCGCCAGTGGGACGCAGCACGCAGAGAAGAGTGAGCCAGGATTGCTTGCTGTGTCTCCCGCCTGCATCTTTTTACAATTAGGTGCTCGGGGGCTTGGAGGAGAGGCTGGTGGGGACCCCCAAAGGATGGGGGGCTGGCACACCGGTCTCACCAGCGCTGATTTCTAAAATGTGGGGGCTCAAGTGCCAGAGCTTAGGAAGGGTCAGTTTTTGAACAGGAGCCACGAAATGGCCCAATATGGATGCACAATATCACGCCTGTGTTGCCAGAAAGATGCCAAGCTTTCCATAGCAAAGGGCAGCCTGAATGTGGATGACACCCATGGCCGCAGTCAAGATGGTCTACTGGATCCCCTCTTGTGCTCCCTAACATTCGCAAGATGACCCCAAGCAGGGGAAAATCCCAGAAGCTTGATCCCTTTTTTCCGTCGTTGAACTGCTTCTCAACAAAGCAACTGGGAGGGCTGTTTTTCAACAAGTTTCATCATATATTTTTTTGTTTGTTTGAGGTGCCCCTATGCATATGGAATGCTGAATGCCACTGGCTCGCGATCTCTATTGCTGCACACGTAAGCAACAACAATCATCATAATGTATTCTCAAAGGTTTTCACAGTCAGGATCTGATGGTGGTTACAGGTTTTTCGGGCTGTCTGGCTTTGTTCTTGAGGTTTTCCTTCCTAACCTTTCCCAATCTCCTGAAAAGGACGAAAAGGTGATCCCACAGCTATAAAGACCCAACTATCCCACAAACTGCACCAGAGCACAGACAGCCTCTGAAGAGGCCAGCCACAGAGATTGGCAAAACATTAGGAAGAAAAACCTCCGGGACGCGGCCAGACAGCCCGAAAAACCTAAAACAACCGATAATAATAATTACCATGTCCCATCAAGTCCATTCTGATTTATGGTGATCCTTTCCAGTGTTTCCTAGGAATGAGATCCTCAGAAGTGGTTTTCCGTTCCCTTCTTCCGGAGGCATCCTGGGATGGTGCAGCTGGCCCAAGGCCACCCAGGGCTGGCTCTTCTCCCAGAGTC